CAATGGTGGAAATATATGAAAGAAAGATTGCATATAAGGATATAGTACAGGAAGAAAGAATCAGTACGTAGAAAGAAAGAAATGAAGCGATTTTAATCTCACAGTTTAAGGGAATGCAGAAAGTGTATGCACCTACGCTATAGTGATCGATTCTGAGTCATGTCACCAAGAGTCTCCAATCATTGAATACCATAGTCATGAGGACCTCAACCAAGTAGTTTGCATCAACTAACATGGCTCAGGTTAGAAGTTAGTGACTTCAAGTACTGATGCCACGTTTTTGGTTTGGCCATCCCTAACTTTCTTCCATCCATCCTCAACACTAGTCAGCACTGAGCGTCGTATTAATCAGAGTTCAGGCATAAGTAACACGCGACCCAACAATCTTAATAATAAAACCTTACCACCATGAAAAAAAAGTTTTTTCTTACGACAAAAACAAAATGACTTAAGAAAAATATTAATTACTTGACTAACAAAAATGTTGCATGTTTATTATTTTTTTTCAAAAAAAACCCACATTATTTGAAATGTAGACTCTTTAAAAAAACAAAACAAAAAAAAATTGGAAAACATTTTCATTTCAATGCACATACAATTGATTGAATATTATCTCATTGACCGATCATTCTTTGTGATTCTTATTTTTTGTCTTTTTTTCTTTTTCTTTTCTTCTTTTCTTTTAAGTCACTCGTATACTATAAAATTACTTATGCTAAGATACATTAGTGAAATTAAAATCTTATTTAAATATGACCTTATTAAATCTAACTAAAAAGAAAAAAAAGAAAGTTACAAATATCTTTCACTTCAAATAAACACAAGTTGTATAAGTTCAAAATAGTTATATTATACTAAAACTTCCGGTCAGTTAAATTAAATCTGTTCCTTTAAATATCTTGCATGTTTAATTTAAGTATATAAGTAGATAGTCATTTTAATTATGGTTATTTAAATTATGAGAAGATTGTGTAGTATTACCGTTAACATAATCGACAACAACAACAATGAAAAAATGCTGAGGTCATGAAAATTCCAAATATCATTGATGATATTTAACTTTACAAATTTTCAACATTACCCACGTGCATATAACCACTGCCAGAAAAGTCCTACTTACTGCCTTCTCGTGACGAGAGTGCTGTCTACGAAATCAAGAGGGCAAAAAGCCAATGTCCGAAGCTTTAACCGGGTTCGTGGATTCATCTCGAGGAGTTATTCGGAAAACCCTGATTCCAAAACAGTGGTGCACATGGGCTCTAGGATTCTAAGGAAACAAATGGCGTATCAGCCTATAGTTAGGCATCGGCTACCATTGGACTGTATCTCTTGACGTTGCTCTACTGTCTTGTGGATTAGAACATCAGATAAAAGACTAGGGGTGTGGACCCCCTTATGAAAATCACCCGCTTTGGTTTGGGTACCCAGGCAATAGCTCAGCCCTCACAAAAATCGAATGACGAAGTAAGGCGCATATATATTTGGTGCCTCATTGTATCAACGTTTATGTGTTTGAATAAATAATAAATAAATCCAAAGGTATTTTGAATCATATGGCTAATCAGTAAAACTATATTTCAACAACAAATTGTCTGAATAACAAGCATTAAAAAAATAGTTGTTTTGTGACACTCATAACTAAAGACAGTGTACAAGTATTATAACAGTAAAAGCAAGTTAATAAGTTTCCATTTTAGCTTTAAAACAACGGACACAATTACTTTGAATTAATCCCAAAACCTAAAGACCAAGCACTATACAGTACTCATCAATAACACAGGCTGACTATTCCAGAATAATTAGGGTATTTTATAAATCAGGGTTTTCCGACTAACTTCCACAGATGGATCCTTCATGTCCAACGACCCGGTTAAAGAGTCCAACATTCAGTTTTCATCCTCTCAACATGATAAACAACACTTAAAAAGACACTTTTCTGTACTACTGATCTCGAATGTACTATCCAATACTTAAAACACTGAAATAATGCTCAAAAGACAAAGTAACGATTATGCTTGATTATATACCACAAGATAAGTAGTAATTAATGGTAGCGTTCACTTTCTTTTAGTTATATACACATTTTACAATCTACATTAGATAATTAAAAGTAAATTATTGAGATAATAGTTACCTCATATTTTAAAAATTACTATTTTTCTTTTAAATCGTATTATCATTATTATTATTATTTAGTAAATTAATAAATAGACAGTAAATATAATGTAAACTACATTTACCGTAATCATTTATTCTAATCTATTATATTACTTTTATTAATGTGTTTTATTTAAATTAACTTTTTATGAGATGGGTTTTTTGGATATAACAGTAATCTCAATGGTTAAGAACATGAGTCAGTTGAAGCTAGACAACCATGGAAAACCTGGAAGCACTAAATGGCCATTTCGTCTTAGTATGGGACTCTTCAGCAGTGCGCATCCACGACCTCGCCCCCTGCGAGATTTGAACCCGGGACCTACTGGTTTTGCGCGCCAGCATTTAACCACTAGACCACTGCGAATAATAAACAATACTAAAAATGAGTTAATATATAAATACACAAATGATAAGATCAATAAATGATCAGCTAGTGATTAAGGAATTTAGTTATTAGTTATTAATTCTATATGGTATAATGCCATTAAATTCAGTAGTCATATAAAATTATGTAATAATTAGGATTTTAATAATATTGTACATTTGATAAACTTTGTAAAGTGTTTATTTGTAAATTATTAACGCCTTTTTATCGCGCCCCTGAAGAAAAAGATAACTAGGAAGGTTAAATGAAAATTATAGATGTTATCCGATTTCTTCCATGGTTGTACGCTTAATTAGGTTCACGGTGATTATACTTCAAAAAAGATTACTCATATTTGAACTCAAAGTTTCTGGCAAATGGAAATGTGTCACATCGTAACACATACAAAATTACTCTACACGAATACTTGAAACTTCATTTTTTGTTGTATAATTATAACCATACAACCAAACTAATGTTGATAATACTATACATAAATTGATGGGATTTTTACCATAAGTTCATACACGTTAAATGTTTAACGAAGACTATACAACTGTTTTGTATTTTATTAATAAATTTTTCAATAATGAACTTAAGTTTACACTTCTGTACTACAATTATTAATAAATAAGTTCTACAACATTCAATCTAATTAAGCACTAAAACAAACAACAGATAAATATATAACTTAGAAAAAGGTTTTATTATTATACAATAATTGAATCATATTTTAAAACTAACCTTGGTCTCCCATAAGTTAAATAGTATGCATTCATTTCTGTCAACAAATCTTGTATAGCCTTTTTATCTTGAAATATTGATGATATTCTTTGCATTACTTTATTTTCTAATTGTAATCCATTATCTAAATAAGATCGTTGTGTAGTTTTTGGAGTTTTAATTAATTTGACTACGGGTGAATCAATTAAATATGTAGGTAATGTAGATGAATCTGATTCTAATATTGTCTCTGAATCTGTTGACGTTTCCGTTAATGGTGATAAAATAGTATTATGTAAATGCATAGCATCTATGCAAAGATTATTATTCACGTAAACTATTGAATAATTAAATAAGATTATTATAATTAGAATTTGTATAGTTTTATTTAATAATAGATAATGTTTCTTTTTAGTTGCTTCTATATAATAATCAGTAATATTATGTGTTAAAGGGTTTTTTAAAATTTTCATAATTTCAACCTTTTCAATGTTATTATTATTATTATAAGAAATCATTTGATCACATTTGATGTAAGCACTTTCAGTTGATTTCAATGATAAATTTTCAAAATTTACGCGTATATATTTCATAGATGAATTTAAACGATCCATTGAAATATTACGTTTTGTCCATGACAAATGAAATTGAATATTATTGAACAATTCAATAATTTGTTTGAATTCAATATTAGAAGTCAATTTGTTCCAATAATTAATTAATTGTTTAATAATTAAATAATTAAATTGTTTAATAGCATAGATTATAAGAGAATAATAATAATACTGATAATTGACTAATGGATTAATAAGCATTCAATAATAACATATAAGTTGATTTTGTGTAAAGAAAATAAGAACAATCAAGTTACAAGAATATACATATATATACGTATGTAAATCCCTGTAAAATAATTTCCATTAAGATATTGGTAAATATGATTTTATAAAATCACTTAAACAGGGTTTCTTGATTTGTGCATATGTGTGTGTGTGCGTGTGTATATGTTTACATTTTTCAATAGTCTATAAAATACATTTTAACTCATGTTATTAGAGAAAATTAACTAGCCCACTCAAATATGACGACTATAAGAATCGACTCCCACGCATATAAAATCCACCCTATAAATTATCCAATCTTTATTCTATATTTATTGAGAAATTTTGTCCTGAGGAAATTTTTGCATTTTTTTGTGAAAAATATTTTTTGGAAAATTATTATTAAATATAGTTTTAGAAATTATCATTCAACTAAGAAATTTAATATGGATATAATAAGAAATATTATTAAACATATCATAATCACCAACGTGTTTAACTCAATTCAACAATGAATAAAACACAAAATAAGACAGTTATTATGAAATCTCTAGTACTTATAGTACTGAATTACTGAGCCAAAATTCAATAGTTTGTTCTTATCACTTTCAAAAAAAACAAAAAAAACTTATAACCCTATGTTTAAAAAAAGACAACGTCATCATTGTAACTTTGAATTTTACGTTGAAGAGAGGATGAAATTATAAAAATCAAGTGTTTGTCAAATATTGTTTCGATAGGGTAGTAAAGACAGTGTTTAAATATCCTTTTGTTAATATATAAATTAAGTTAGATACACTGAAATGTAGCTATTCACTCTGACGAAACATGATAAAAACTATATCTATAGAAGTTTCTAATTAATTGAATGACTTAAGATTAAAGTTAAATATATCACATTTACTAACTCGATTTTTTCTTCAAGCTTCAGTTGAGAAATGATATTGTTGATATAGTTTCATTTAAATGCTTGAGGTACTCTTCAAAACGATCATTTAATAACCTTAGTTCATATTAAAACCCCGATGGTACCTAAACGTTTCTCTTTCTGATGTCTTAATACAAGTTAAAACCTTAAATCTATTGCAGTGTTTGAATTATTGCCCTACACATGAGATTGGTAGAATACGGAGAATATATTTGATGCATGTCCATATGAATTGCATTAACTGATATGAGAAACTATTTTGTGAGATAATGATTATTTCACTTAATCTTAGGTTGAAAGTTCAACTTCACTTTATATATTATATATATACCTAGGTAAATCTTTATAGATTATTTAACTTCATTCAGCCTTTATCTACGTATTTTGATGCTCTTGATGGTCGTGTTTCACTTATTACTTGCTTCGCACACCCATATCCAGCTTCATATTTTTAGTATCAATCTCAAAAATGTGATTCTCGATAATATAGTGATGCGTATCTTTGCCTGTCACGTGGAACACCCGAGGAGTCGAGTTTTGCCTTAAAATGTACTAGTACGATCGAGAGTGAGGAGAGTCCGTTCTCGCTTTAGAAATGCTCTCATATGACCATGAGTATAAAGTCAATGATGAAGAAGTCCCACTCACTGTCTTTTCGTAATGAGTGTTGGCTACAAAATTGAGAAAACGAAAAGTAGATGTCCAACGCCTTAACCGGAATGGTGGATATGGATGACAGTTAGTTGGAAAACACTGATTCCAAAACAATGGAGCACATGAGCTCTAGGATCCTTAGGGAACAAATGGCGTATCAACCTATTGTTGCTTACCGATCCCTACGAGACTGTATCTCTTAACGTTGCTCCACTATCTTGTGGATTAGACCTTCAGGTCTAAGGCTTCACTAGTGACCCCCTAAGGAAACCACTTGTTTCGGTTTGAATGCCCGTTTAATGTTCCAGTCCTCACGCGAATCGAATGACGAAGTGTGGCGCACATAATTTTGGGGCCTCCTTGTCCCAATGTTAATGTGTTTGAATAAATAAATAAATTTTAAGCAATTTTAAATGTGTGATGAACTGCTGGAAATCGCTGTTTTCTACTAATTAGAATATCATGAATAAATAATATTATGCGCACAAAGGAAGTATGTCATATCGTTATCGTTACATTGGCCTTAATTAACATTATTATCATTATTATTACTTATGTCTTATATTCTCATTATTTTATTCATTAATACTCATCATTTATTTTTACACCTCTACGAACTTTGAAGACCTTTAATTATTGTAACAAAAACATTTTAATCATCTTATTACATTCACTTAATCTAAATTTATTTTAATTATTTTATTATTTAAAAAACACATTACTTTCATTGTAAACCGTAGAAACATGATTGTATAATGGATTTTATGAAATTGCTTTGGTGAATAGAACAATAAAAAAGTAACAGAAGGGGTTTTACGGATGTTATAGCAATTTTAATTGTTGAGATCATAAGTCAGTTGTGATTAGACCATCATGACTCATGATCTCAACCATTGAAATTGCTATAATCTCCACAAAACCCCTTCCGATACTAATCAACATATGCTCACTAGTGACTAGCTTCAAGAGGTATTTTCTACAGTTCTAGTGAGCAGTGACCAGTGAATTTCAACCAGGTCTGTTGTGAGATAGTAACTCACTGATGACAAAGATGGATGTGTCGCTCAATTTCACGGATTGGTTGAAGTTAGACATCAACGCCATTGGATGCCGGCTCAGTGGTCTAGTGGTTAGGCGCTCATGCGCGAGACTGATAGGTCCTGGGTTCGAACCTCGCGAAGCGGAATCATGGATGTGCACTGTTGAGGAGTCCCACAATAGGACGAAACAGACATCTAATGCTTCCAGGTTTTCCATGGTTGTCTAGCTTCAATTGACTCATGATCTCAACCATTCAAATAAAGAAGTAATTAAACTGTTTAAAATGCAAAAATAATTATTATACATTGATTTAAATATATCCATTACACTAAGTACTTAGTAACCGGAAACAAACATATTCTGCATTCAAATAAGAAAAAGTACTAATTTCATCAAACTGTCAAAAATGATCTTTGATATGACAATATAAAAATCATAAATAGTAGTAATTACGTACTCATATAATTATCGGAATATGATCACGATAAATTTTCTAAACAATTTTTTGTAGAAAATATAGTATTGGAGAATATAAGTCATTATGATATCTGTAAATCAACAAACGTTTAACAAAGATTGACACTTTAAAAAAAGGAAAGTATTTTTTGTTGTTAATATGAAAAATAATTAGTGCAAAAGTTGATAGAGAGGGACTTCTAATTTCTTCCTTAAAATACACAGAACAATAGGATTGTTTCCATTAACAAGTGATTTTGAATAATATAATATCGAAATTGTTTCGATTATATTCATGAGTTGATATTTAATACTATACTGATCAGTGATGTAGAGTTTTAGATCTAATGATTAATTAACTTTATATTATGAAACTAGATCGTAAAAAGCTCTTTTAAATAAAGGGTAGTTAATTTTTAAGATAATGAATACCATAAAAAAGTAGTATACATTTTTATAATTTAATTGTTCCAAATTCTTTATTACCAAAAAAGAAAGGTTGTTCGTCAAAGGAAAATATTACATCTCTAAATATAGTCATAATGTATTTCTACTGACATGTCAGCAATTATACATTTCTTGAAATTTTCTTTATCTATTTCAACTAATGAAGAACCTTATTGTTTATGTGGTTTTTAAATGATTTAAGAGAAGTATTTAATTATATCTGTATTTATTCTTAAAGATATCTTTGTTAAAGTACATTGCCAATACAGTGATATTACAAATAACTTCATACAATAATAGTAATAATAATATATAACCAAATAGTAAACTGCATATTTGGTTAGAGGATTAAATTACAGCTGAATGTTTTTATCGATATTCTGAATACTTTAACAATAGAAAATAATAATAAACGATAAACGGTTGCTATAACAAACTTACTGAATATTTTACTCAGAAATTCATTTCACTATCTCTCGTATTGTTAAACTAATCAGTTTACGGTCATTTACTTACTTACTGATGCCTGTTACTCCTCTTAAAGGAGCATAGGCCGCTCACCAGCATTCTCCATCCAACACTGTCCTGGGCAATCCTTTCCAGCTCCTTCCAGTCATTATTCATCCTTTTCATATCTGCTTTTATTTCCCGACGTAATGTATTCTTTGACCTCTTTTCCGCTTCCCTTCAGGATTCCAAGTTAGGGCTTGCCTCGTGATGCAGTTTGGTGATTTGCGTAATGTATGTCCTATCCATTTCCATCGTCTTTTCCTAATTTCCTCTTCAGCTGGAAGCTGGTTTGTTCTCTTCCACAGAAAGCTGTTGCTCATGGTTACAGTCATTTAACTAAGAGTTTAAGTTTTATTTAATTTGAGTATAAGTTTTAAACAATATCCAACTTTCAACTATTGACTTTAAATCAAAATAAAGATAAACAAGCTGATGTTGTAATGAACAGAACACGGGTGGGGACAATCGAATGTATTTAACACAAAATTACAGGACTTGTTAATAAAATCTAACTATCAAATAGTAAATACGTAATTTGCAAAATGTCCACCGATTGTCTGAAAATGACCCAGACTTCATTGTTCTTGCATTTTCATGCGAATTGCATCCTGTTTCCATTCTTTACTGTTCGATCCTCTTGTCTCTCTGCTTCCAGACCTTCTGTTCACGACTAACATCATATACTACTTATGTCAATATAAGTAGCACACACCACAATGTGACATTCTATTTAAATATGGAATATTTATGTTCTCTTTTCTTTTGAATTTCTTTTCACTACTGTCAACTAAAACAATGTATAAAATTATGATTTAGTTTTTAAAAATCAAGGTTAATAATTGAACATTTTGTCATTTTTCGAACTTGTGTTTAAAGGAACTTCATAGTGCAGTGAACGAGAACACAAATGGGAACAATTGAATGTATTTGAGCACAAAATTACAGAACATCTTAGTGAAATCTGAGAAACATACAGTAAGTACTTAATTCGTAAAATGTCAATCAATTGTCTCAAACTTGATTGCTTCTGTATTCCCATAGTAATTGCTTTCTGTTCCCGATCTTTACTCCACGATATTCTCAACCTTCTGCTGTCTGACATTCTATTCCTGAATGGAGTTATATGCTACTTATGTTGACACAAGTAGTACACACTACAATAGTACATACGACTGAATTAAACATCCGATCTATTTGCTTGTAATTAGTACAGTATCAGGTTGGTTTTGAAACTTTTAGATCTCTTACTACACATAACAATGTGATATCATACATAAAATGACTATTAGTAATACATATAACATTGATTTATGTTAAGGTAATTATTCGTTATCCTTTATGTTAAGAGT